GGGGGCGGCGGGCGCGGCCCGATTTACACCCGCCCCGACCCGGAAACGCACCGCGCGCGCGGGGCGGGACAGAGCGGCCGCCGCCCCGCACAGCGCCCCCCGGCGGCGCGGAGGTCCGGGAGGGGAGTGGGGGGCACTGGGGGGCACTGGGGGAGTATTGGGGGATAATGAGGAATAATGGGGGCACTGGGAGAGCTCGGGGGAAATTGGGGGTAAATGGAAGCGATTAAAGGTGCGGTAGAATTGTGTATGGGGAGCTCTGGGGCAACTGGAGGGCAATAGGAAGGCCTGGAGGGCAATAGGGGCACCGGGGGCAGAGGGGCACGGGGGGCAGTCCCCCCTCCCGAGGAGCACTGGGGGTTTGAGTCCCCCCCAAGCCCAGCCCCCTACCAGGCGAAGGAGACGCTGACACACATTGGGATGTCCCAGAGCTTTATTGGGGGACAGCGGGGGCACCCCTGGGACCCCCCAGGGGATGGTGGCAGGGGGACAGGGTGAGGGCCTGGGGGCTCCCAGGGGCTCCCGGGGTGTCCCGGGTGCTCACAAGGGTGCTAAGAGGTCCCAGGTGGCTCCTGGTGGTCCCAAGGTTTCCAGGAGATCCTGGAGGGTCCCGGCTAATTCTGGGGGTCCTGGAGGGTCCCGGCTGATTTTGGGGGGTCCTGGAGTGTCCCGGGTGATTCTGGGGGGTCCTGGGGATGTCAGGAGCCTCAGTCGGAGCTGCTCGAGGAGGACGATGACGACGAAGAGCGCTGGGGGGGACAGAAGAGCCATGAGCCCCCCAAGGAGCCCCCAAGGGTGACCCCCCGTATCCCCCCCCGGGTGCCCCCACCTTGTGCCTCTTGTGAGCCTTCTTCATCCTCTTCTTCATCTTCTTCGCCGCCTTCTTGTCCAGCCCGGGGGGGAACGAGGGGAGCACCCCAGGGTGGGGCAGCACCCCTGGGTGGGGCAGCACCCCCGGGTGCGGGGGCACCCCCGGGTAGGGGGGCTGCGGCGGGGGAGGACCCAAGGGGGGGCCCGAGGGGGCGAGGGGAGGCCCCGGGGGGCACAGGGGGGGCCCAGCGGGGTACGGGGGCTGCCCGGGCCCCCCCAGAGGGTTGGGGGGCGCCGCAGGGGGGGGGTACAGGGGGTTGGGGGGTGGGACCTGGTGGGGGTACGTGGGGTTCGGGGGGTACACGGGGTTGGGGGGGGGCGGCTGTCCTGAGGGGGGGAGAAAAGAGGAGATTGAGGGGAGGGGTCTGACCCCGGGGGGTCACGGCAGCCCCCCCAGCTCGGGGTGTCCCCCTGTACCTGCACCAGGGTTCCACATGGCAGGAGACTCCAGGACCTGGGGGGGCACAGGGGGTGAGCGGGGACCCCCCCAAACCCCCCCGGCACCCAGAGCAAACTGAGTCACGGAAACTTTGGGGGTCTCAGCCGGGACTGGATCGAGGCGGGTGGGGGGG